CAGGATTTTATCTTACATATTTCGATGAAATACACAGTTAAGGCCTTTCTAAAAGTGATTCTGAATGTTTTTTGAATACATTCTGTAGCTTTCTATGTATCTAGGCTTAGGGAATGTGCAATAATTATAACTAAAACTGCACATAGGCTTAGGGAATGTGCAATAATTAATAGAACAGAAGAATGCAAGGGCCTGTTAAGGATAATTTAAGGGTCCTGTTGGTGCATCACTCGTGGTCATACTGGTCTCATATTTACTTTGTTTTATGGTGTTTGTTTATGTGCTGCTTTGTGTTGTGTTGTCCTGTTTTTTGATAAAACATGTTACCCCTGTCCCAAGACAAATTTCTCCCATGGGAGACAATAAAGGATTATCTTATCTTATCTTATCTTATCTTATCTTATCTTATCTTATCTTGGTGTGTGTAAAGTCGACTAAAGGCCTGCGAGAATGTCCCCCCTTTCCCGGGCACAGCAGTTACCCATATGCCGCCCAAGAGAAGGGGGCGCCCGGAGGGAGGAGAGGAACGTTCAAGCCGAGAGAATGGGACGTTCGAGCTAGGACTTTCAAGCCAGGGGGACGCTCGAGCCGATATTTGTTTGTGATGAGGAAAAAACATTATAACAATAATATAACACATAGATCAGAAAATAGTGTAATATGGTTTCAGTTCATTATTCACAGCTACATGAGTTTGCACATGCTTTCCACAACTTTCAGAGATGAAGTTTTTCTGTCACTGTAAAGCTAACTAACATGCTGACCACGCACTTCCTGATTTTCAAACGATAAAATGCTTTACAGTTGGATGTAGGCGGTACAAAGCGGACTTCAAAAGCTCCTTATACAATATATGTGTGCTGGGGCAAGAAAAATGTTCAAATACAAAGGGGAAAAAAATCGGCTACAGGCCCTTTAAGATTTAATACAAGTCATCCTTTCTTCCTTTGCACTCCTCTTCCCTCTTAGTACGAGTTCAAGACACGTTAATTAAGGCCTCTAATTCCCCTCACTGAATCATGTATCAAAGACTAAAATCCATTTTTCATTGCGGTAGATGCAGCGGACGAGAAGACAGACGGAGGGAGGGAAGAAAACAAAAAGTGGAGCGGACTCATGGGAGCGGAGGAGCAGAGCGGCGTAATGAGAGGTTTGTGTGTGTGTGCGTGTGCGCGTGTGTGTCTTTGGAGAGTGTACGACCCCCACGGTTACACAACATTACCACCTAAATGCCCAAGCGGATTCGTTTATTTGTGGAGCGCAAACACTGCTCAGATGCAGGCAGGAGAGGAAGAGCAGTTTTGTGTGTAAATAGATGGATTCTATTGTTCATATCCCAAGCTTCAGATGTGTGCTGCGTAGTGTTGTCACAGTACGGCAATTTCAGACTCGATTTTTTTACTCTAGGGGGTGATACAGTATAATTATCATGGGCTGCTGTATCGATATATCGCCAAGATTTTTTTTTGTGACCACACGACCATTTTGTTGCTTATTTAGAGGAATGAAACTTGCTTTTACAATAATACTTGTCATATTCACTGTTTAAATTATTAAAATAGAGTATCGTGTGTAATATATCGCTTATCACATGTATCGCCACATTGTGATAATATAAAATCATGAGTTATGTATTGTGTAGCGTATCACATTGTGAGGGACCATGTGATTCCCAGCCCTATTAGATTTACTACTCAAAACCAATTACGACACCACAATGAAAAAAAATATATAAAAAATCTTTCTTTAGATAATAGAATGTGATTTTCAGAATAAAATGGTTGTACTTTCTTTTATATTACCATGTAGTGTTATCTGTGTAATCCCTCAGTGGTCCAGGTCTGTTCCATTGTGTCCATAGGCGTATACTAGTCTAAGTCTATATACTTGTTCTGATACAGCTCAAGGTCATTCTAAAGCTTCAGGAAAGGTTCATTTTTGTCCTGTGATTGTGCCGTTTTAGAATCGATTCTTGCTCAAATGAGTATCTGATTTTTGGTGCTTCTGACAACCCTAGCGCCGCAGATAAAAATGTATGTAAGATAATGATTCTTCAAGATAAACATGTATACTGTTTCAATTTTATGTCTATGTGAAACAACAGGTGCTATTATTAGATAATAAAGCTTATAACAGTGGAAAAGTGGCATACTAGCGCTAGGTGAGTGAGAATATTTACAGTTGGACTATTGAATTGTGAGTGAGTTTAAAAAGTTAGTAAGTGTTATTTACTCCCACAAACGCTATAGCAGTTTGTGTACGTTGGCAATTTTGTTTTTCATCGCCTTCATTATGTAAACTTTTTTTTCTTAAAGCTATACCTGATTTTTGATTTTCCAAACATGACATAGTTGAATTTGAACTTGACATCCTCGTGCCTGTTTTGGCCCTGATCTGAGCCCAGTTTAGTCCTGGTCTAGCCCATAGATCTATTAAAATAAGTGAGTGCCGCCCTGATTGGTCAGAGTGTTCACGTGGTACATGGGACCACGCTCCTTGCGCACGTTTGCCTGTGCCCATGTGGTTGACGAGCCCTAGGTGAGAAGGTGAGAGAAATGCGCCATTGTTCTTGACCCAATCACTTTAATGGGCGGGCTGGGTCTTGGTCTAGCTCTGGTTCAGTTCTGGGTTTAATCTGTTTAATCCCAGTTTTTAAGAGGTATTTCTGACCTTCCCAAAGCCCCTATACATAATTATTCTTGAAATATATTACTTTATATGCGTCTCTAAAATACATGCACACTTTCTTTTGAGTCTTGACCAATGAAATGGTACTTAAAAATTTAACAGTCAGCAATGCACAAATTAGTACTTTTTCACTCTTGTTTTGTAGACTTTTTGTTGTACATACATGTGTTGACTTATCGTGTCCTTCCCTGTTTCGTCTCTCACCTCTGCACTGAGCTCATGTGTCCCTGTCACTTGTCTTCTGTCTCTCGTGAGCTTTCACCTCAGCTCTGACGCAAGAGCCCCTCCTCTTCCTCTTCTTCCTCCCACTCCTCCTCCTCTTCTGCTCTGCCCCGGTGTCTTATTTATACCTGTCTGGGGGAGTGTTTTTGTCCTGGAAGGTCAAAGTGAGTGCATAAACATAACCCGTTCAGTGGCTATGGGACACCTCATCAACATCAGCCATGACTTCAGAGGCAGCAAACGTCAGAACAGACTCATTTGCTTCTGTTAAGCCTGTTACATTACAACAAAAATATACAATGCTTGAAGAATGCAATATTAAAAGACTCTATCTGCTTTTAACCATGAGTGAGGAACATGTTTGAGTCTGAACTCTAGCCCCGCCCACTTAGTCCTTTTTACTAGAGATGCACCAATCCAGTTTTTCAGTTTCTATACTAATTTCATTACAATGTCAGCTGATAGCAGTGCAGAGACTGAAAACAGCATTTATTTCCTTAAAAATAAAATAAGACAAGCTGATTCAAACGTGTTATGTAGCTGTTATCTCAAGTAACACCAGAACAAATGGGTATAAACACAAATTCAAACATTGAGACTTTCTGGACCAAATATGACCACTAAATAGTCTTACTGCAATCATTTATATTTCAGACGATATTTGGAATAGCCGATATCCAATGCAAATTTTTCAGTATTGGTGCCAATATCCAGTACGAGTATCATATCGGTACACTCCTACTTTTTACCACGTTGATATTGCACCATGACACAGAAAGAACTGTCTGGGATCGTCTTGTGTAGCTGTTTCCACGTGTTCCCCCATTAATCTCAACTTTCTTTGTGTTTTGTTCACTCTTGAAAATGCACCAGGATAGATTGAGCTGTCTGGTTTAGTGTCTGGCAGTGGTTTCCCATGATTCTCACCAAACATTGTTCCTGATTGGATAAAAACCAGTTGCCCTGTCAGTAGTTTCTCTGTAGTTATTACCCAGCAAAATGCTTTGTAAAATGCCTAGGTCTTGTCTTTCAATCGCTTTGTTTGTCTCATTTAACTACATTTACAATACTCTGATAATATAAAATGTATTTATCACAACCAGAAGAAATGACAATCAGGTACAGACCTTTTGAATACACTTTCAATGTTTAAAGGTGAACTGTGTAACTTTTCAGATGCACATTATTGTCTCATTGAAGATGTGGATATTGAAGAAACACAAGATGGATATGTTTTATGCCTTATTGTATAACGTTCCAGTCAAAGCAGTAACATACCCATGGAGACTAGCAGATGGCTGACTCCCCTCTAGTACAGTTACATAGTGCAGTTTCACATAAATGCTCTTTGGAGTTTTGCACTGTTATTGAGTGAAAAGTCTCCTTTGGCTTTCACAGTTTAAATTGTTTCCCCCCTAACTGCTCTTTAGACTTTATTGATCTGTGAGGAAATGACTTACTTAATTACATTAGCACCAAAATAACTCTTGGACACAAACAAGATTATAGTTAAACTACTCAAAGACTAAGGGGGATTGGGTATTGTACTTCTGCAGGATTTTTAAGCTCAGGTCAAACTGCATATAAGCCAATGGGCCAGTCCGTCACAGGCAGTTTGATACAAGCAACCTAGATGAAGGGGAATATTAAGAGGAGCTTGAATGAATCCACCGCGGATACTCTCCTCCTGCAGGAGTCACGTGCTGTTGCTCAACGTCAGAGCAGTGCGACTTCACGACCATTAGCACCTCTGTGTGAGTCATGAAGGATCATGGCCCTGGGCTGACCCCTCACATACAGTGTGCACCGACACAGAGGCAGGGCTCCACACAACAGGTGTGACTAACTCAATACAGCCAATATAGAAGTGAATGGAAAATACAGTTTTGGCGGCAGACATGTTATATAGAAATTCATTAAATTCAAATTTATCACTCTTCATAGCCATGCCATTGTTATTGCACACAGATGTTTTATGATTCAGTACGTTGAATTGTAACTGTATACTCTTGCCTTGCTTGAGTGTGAATCACACACCAATAATCTCTTTTGTTCCAAACTTAAGACACTGTCTGTGATGTGTGTCTTACCTGGAGTTGGTCATGTCCGTCTGGCCTCCCTGGCTCTTCTCCAGGCCCAGCTTGGTGAATATTCCCACCAGGACCATGATGGCCACCACTCCGCAGATGATGTAGACGATCATGTGTGTGCGGTCACGGTAGGGCTCCTCCTGCACCTCTGTGACCGGGGGCGCGGGGCGGCCCGTGTTAGCCCACACTGGGGTGTCATAGTTGGAGCAGGACGTCTGGTCCAGGCTGTGCACTTTGAACTGGCAGCAGAAGCGGTAGAAGCAGGAGCCACAACAGAAGCTGTAGATGCCTGCGTTACAGTTGAACGGAGGGTCCCACTGGCCCATCACGTCGTAATAGCCCCAGCAGCGGTTGGTGCTGGTGGGGGCCGTCTGCTCCTCAGTGTCCGCTGTGGGGGTGGGCAGGGCTGCGTCTGTGAGCCGCTGAGAGCTCTCAGTTTGATTATTGGGCATGGCCTGTGCCAGTGCCCCTCTGGACCTCTGACTCCAGCCCCCTAGAGAGGTCATCCCGAGCACTGCGGCCAGGGTGAGGCTAACCAGCACCGAGCTCAGGTTAGGGGCCATAATAGACTTCATTGGCTGCAGTTTTTCAGCTGTTTGTGTACGTGTGTGGAAATGCCAAAAATAAAAACTTCCCACGAGTGTGTCTGACTAAGAAGTCAATGAGTACACAACCAGAATAATTTCAGTCATAAGCAAAGGGAGTACACGGCTTTTCAGTGAGGCCTCTGTTGTTCCATTAGAAAACAAAGGCGCTCTTTTCCGTTGGAGGTGTTCAAGCTGTCATCAGGAAACAGACCAATGAGTCAAAGAAATCAATCTGGCTCTCAGCATGTTCTTAACAGGGAGGAATGTGTCCCCAGGGAGCCACTCACATGCACACAGTGTGGGGGCGTGTGTACATGAGAGCCAACATAAACAAACACTGCACTATTGAGAAAGTGTCACCTTTTATAAAGCCATATGTCATCCACAGACAGCAGAGGCAGTGCACACAGCTCCAAAAGCACAAATCCACTTACGCTCGCAGGTTACATGTGAACTTTGTCTGTGACGTCCGGCTAGTAGGTCAATAATCCGTAAACGTAGCCACTGATTCCTGCCAGCAAAAGAAAAATAAAGTTTCAGAACAGACTCTTGAATAAGTAGAAGATGAGTTAATATTAAAAAAAAGTATGTCCAGTCTCGAGTTATTCCGCCTCTGAGTTTAACCGACCATGCTCCAACTCTCACTCTCTCTCAGCTCTTTCAGTTTAGAGGTGCACATCCTTCCCTTCCTCCTCAGTGCACTAGAGCATTTGTCTGTATCACACGGTTAGTCCCAGATTCTCTGTGTATGTCAGAGCTATCAACAGTATCAGCAGTAGTCCATTGTCCACGCGCTCTGCTCACATGTGCCTATAGTGCGGTCCGCCTGCTCTGGCTCACACCTCCTCTGCTGTGTGCGCTCCCTGGTCTCTCCTGCAGCTGTTGCTCTGCTCCCCTGTCCTGTCCTGTCCTCTCCTATGTTGTCCTATGTGCTGTGTGCTGTGGGGGTCCAGGAGCGTCCCGGGACCAGCGCTCTGTCCCTCACTCTGCCCTGAGAGCAGGAGCAGGAGGGGGGGCTGCAGACGCTCAGAGCTGACTGCTGTTGCTTTTTGTGCGTTCACAGATTCACTGAGACTTCACTAGAGCGGACTGTCCCACATAACGGATTTTTGGCTGCATTCTTTCTTTTGTCTCCACTTTGTTGACTTGGTGATACAAATGTAGTGTTTTGTCCTGTCTTACCTCACAGAGATGTGAGCAGGGAGAGCAGCCTGTGGGCTCTACACGTGCACTGCTCCGGCTCATAGGACCACACAGACAAGTGGAGATGCGACAGCGCAGCGGCGCACGGGGAAAGCTCCTGTTTTCAAAAGAAGCCCCTCTGGAAATAAAGGACTGCAGCAAAGAAGACTTGTTCTCCAAATAGAGATTTGCTCTGGTCAAATCTGACCTTTTGGAAAAGGAAAAAAACTGGCAGAAAGCTCAGTGCATTAATATGCAACAGTTTCAGGAAAATGCTGCATATTAATTCCCCATTTTTCCTGCAGTAAATGAGTTTTGCTGACACTTAGTCCTTGTCCGTCTGCAGCTTCTCTGAAAACAGGCATAATTTGATATATATGTATAGGAGTTTTATATATATATCATATGTATGTGTTTTCACTGGTGCTCTGCTTTGGGCGTCAGTTATTCCGTGGTTGCGTTGCCGTGGTTCCTGTGAGTAAATCCAGCGTTTGTTCCGTAGCTCCGTGTGGTCCTGCTGTCTGCTCCCCTCACTGCTGCTGCTGCTGCTACTGCTGCCACTGCTGCTGCTGCTGGGCTGTGCAGGACTCAATGACGGGCTCTCGCACACACATCCACTGAGGCGCGCGTTCACTCCTCCCTCCGCCGCTCACTCGCTCCCCTCCCTCCATCTCTCTTTCTCTCTCTCGTTCTCTCTCTCTCACCTTCAACAAATGCGCCCAGCTCTTTCTCTCCACCTCATATGTCACTGACACTTCTTTTCCATTGTTGCTTCTTTTTCTATTCCCCTTTTTCACTCACTTCTTTTCTACCTGCATGTTTTAAGATCAACTTAACCTTCTGAGATTGTCTACATGTTTTCACAGTTTTGTTTTTACTTCTCCCTTTTAAAAACAGCCCAGAGAGCACCATGTTTGTGGATGCAGCATTGTCACTTAAATTCCATTGTGGTTCAAATATCTGTAGTAACATGAATACTCTCAAAATGTATTTCTGTTACCGTTATTAAACAAAACAAAACAATTAATTCTATTGTTGTCGCTCTGTAAATGGGCCACTTGCATATATTTCGCTTGTCTTTTTGATTTATCCAACATTTGAATTCACGTCTTTCAATATTGTCACAGATTTGCTCAGCACACGCAACAAAAATCTTTCCTGACGCCACAACAGATATATTTTTAGATCATACACCTCCTTTTGATATCAGCACTTCCTTCCTGTGTGAGAAGGAGGCTGTCTTCTCTGTGCTGCCGTTTGCTTTGCCGCACTTTTCAATCTTTGTGTGCGCACCAACACGTGTGCCACTGCAGTCTAAGAGCTCTGATTTAGGAGACAGGGGGAGAGAGGGAGGAGGCAGCGAGAGAATGAGGGAGAGATAAACACTGCAAGACAGGAAGGAAGAGCGGAGTGAAAGAGGAATTAGGAACGAGGGAGCGGGATTATGGAGGGGGGGAACGAAAGAAAGACAGTGTGGGACAGATACAGGACACAAAACAAGAATGCAGTTTTTTGTATGACTACATTGAAATGAAAAACTACTAAAAACTACACTGAAATGAAACATGTCTACAGGTGCTTTTTGACTCAGGAAATACTGATGAGCTGTTAACATTGTTTTCATGTAGTTTTCTTTTCATTTAATTACTCTTATTTGGATTTGAGTGATACGGGAATGTTGGAGTAATCATGCAAGAGTCAAGTGCTCAAACAATTTTCATCTACCCCCTATCCTCACCCATAACTATCTACTTTTTTTGTTTATTTGTTTTTTAAAGCTTCCATCTGCAAGCGTATTTGATTGTTTTGTTTTTTTTTTGTTTTTTTTTTGGCAGACATTCTGTCAACCCGGCACACTATCAGACTGCAGTAATGTAGACAGCACCTAGTGGCGATATGTGAGAATACAACAGGGGCAGGTCTGCCAGTTGAACTACATACAACTTTAATGCTGCCAGCGACTAGATCAGGAATCGGAATACACTAGACCAGACATGTCAAATTCAGGTCCGGGGTCCAAATTTGGCCCGCGATATAATTATATTTGGCTCGCGAGATCATATCAAATATGTATTAGAGTTTGCCCGCTGGCTACAGATAAACTATTGTTTATTTTTTTACTATTTTATATTATTTTGTTCTGGATTTAGTATTTAAGCAAAACTATTATTAAACATTTATTTGAATAAGAAAAGGTTTAACATTACATATCATGAAAGAAGAGAAAACATGCAGATGTTTTCAGTAATTGAAATTTTTCTGTAAATATTTTGTTTGGCCCACGACTTAGTCCCAGTTTTTAATTTCGGTTATCTGTGAATTTGAGTTTGACCTATCTGCACTAGATGGTTTGCAAGAACTTTGGAAGTGCGAGTCTGGGCACCAGCCAATCAGCAAAGAGTCATACATTCTGTGTTGACAACAATTTCTGAGATCGAGGATTTAAAGCTGTAACAAAATAGAATGTTTGGTGAATTTTATCAATGGGAAATACGTTACTGTCCTTCTTCCTACGGGATTTGGGAAAAGCTTAATATACCAGTTAGCCCCGTTAGCAGCACATTACATATGTCACGACTAAATAGCAGCTATTGGTTAAATAAATAAAAAAAGTACCCGCCTACTGTCAAGCAAACGAATTCTAATGCTGCGAAGTCAGGCGGTTTCCACAAAGTGAAACCGGCTGATGGATCAGGATACTTTAATGCAGGGTTTAGGTCAAACAAAAAGGTTTTTAAAAAAAAATTCAAATTTTGCAGTTTTTATTATGAAGTAATTTCAGATAGTTTGGTTTACAATGCAGAAATGAAGGAGGATCACCTCACAGCACAAAAAGTTCCTTCGGCTCCTGGGCAATGTGGCTTCTTTCTGTGCAGGATTTCCCTTCCATTTTTTGTTTTTCTGTGCCTTTCCCTTTGTTTCCTCCGGGCACTCTGTTTTTCCTCATTCACCTAAATCCTCCAAATAAAGTAGTCGTGACCAAGCCTCAAAATGGCGATGGGTCCCTGGGTGCCGCTCACAGGTTGCCTCAACAGCTCTGAAGGATGGGTCAAATACAGAGCATCATTTAAGCTCATGAACTTAGTCTAAATATAAATGTTAAACATGTGTGAATGAAACAAAACACAACTCCTGGTATGTCTGCGAACACAGATGAGACACAGATGAGAAAACAGCATAATGAGATTTAACCTTTATGTATTTTGTAAACAAGTAAAAGATAAGCGTCGAAATGCTTCAAAAATGCTTCAAACGTGAACTAGATTTTGAGATTTCACAAAAAAAATTCCCCTGCGTATAAAGTGGTAACGTGCAGCCCGGCCCACGTGCATAAGAAAGAACTCAATATTTGATAGCTTCAAAATATTCCACTGTTTTGCATAAAGAGTTAAGACATTTTTACGATTCCCTGTCCTCATTTTTAAAGCCCTCTTTTGTCCTCCCCCACTTTTTGTGTCAGTGCAGTTAGTGTTGTTGTTCTGTCTACAAGCAACCATCTCTCTTCTCTTGTTCTCTCTCTCTCTCTCTCTGTTTCTCTTTTTTCTTTCTGTTTCTCTCTGCGCTCATTTTTCTTTTCTCTCTCTCCTTCTGTTGCTCTTGCTTTTCTCTCTGTCTTGCTCTGTTTCCCTCTCTCTCCCTCTCTGTCTCTCTCTCATGCTCTTTTTTCTTTCTCTCTCTTGTTCTTTCCTCTTCCTTGCTCTTCTCTCCCTCTTTCGCTCATTCCCTCTTTCTTACACTCTTTCTGTTTCTCTCTATTGCCTCTTTCTCTTTCTTCTTCTTTCTTTCTTTTCTTT